TATGTAGACGGCGACGTATATCATCACTGGGCTCGCGGGCAAAAACAGCAGCGTTGTACAGATGGAATCGATGGAAGAGATAGCCAGACCAGATGGCATTGAAAAGGCCAAACACTGCAGCGAGACCATTCCCAATATACCCAGACAGCAGATTACTAGCTTTGAAGACATGGGGGTTGGCGCCGCCAATCGCCATCAAAGTGCCAACACCGACCAACAACGAGCCGAACCCCATCAACACATCCATCACGACCCGGTCAATCACTTCGGTACCAATTTCACGGACTCCAACCCCAAGCCGGCTGTCAATGAGCCGGGCTAGTTCTGCGTTCTTGCAGTGGTATTGCCGCAAACTTTGTAGGTGAGCCCGCTCCGCTCGCAGCAGCTTGACATTGATCCAGCTCAGCCGAAAATCATGAATAGCAACCAACACCATTCCCAATGCTAGTGTACCACCAATTCCCATGAGCACGGCGGCAAACTTCGGAACGGGGATCTGATTCCAGACGTTGGCAGCGAAGTCACCGGCGTTGGCTAGCTCAAGGTACCCGACACTGGCGAGCAAGCTGTTTTTAAATTGCTGCTGGTGCAATAGACGGAATCGACCGCGTCGCCGGACTAGCACAACCTGAGTTTTTTTGGATTCCAGGGATTCCTGCCATGTGATGTCACTGGCTTCACGGATGAGTTTCGGGACCACGGGTGGTGGGGACTCGGCCGTTGATAGTAAGTCCATTTCCGTGGCCATCGTCGTCGGCTTCGGAATCGATTGTGAGAGGTGAACGGGAGATGGAGGGGTGATTAAGGTGCCAGAGGAGGTGGCAGGGGTCACCATTGTAAAAGTCGCATGCGGGTGACCGTAGGAAGGAGAAGCTCACACGGGGCTATCCATGCCGATGCTCTGTACAACCGAGTTCAGAGGGTTGGATGAAAATTAAATTGACAGCAAGGAGGGAGAGCAAGACAGGATAAGAGACAAAGGGTCAAAGAGACAAACTTTCCAAGAAGAAAAGACACGCAAGCACGTAAGCCCAGGGAATCATCCGGGGTCTTGAGAGTTCACGGGTGGAGCAAGACACCCGCCTTGGCGTAGCCCTATAGGGCTGAAGATATACTTCGGTTTGCAGGGGATCATTGTCCGTGAACGTCTGCGGTATAATATTGTACAAAAAAACCTAGCTAGAAAATAAATTGAGTGGAAATGAGCCACAGGCATGATCCCTCGACTCTCAATACTTACATTACTAGGTGATACAGCCCAGCCAATCTAAGGACCTGGCGATCTATACATAGAAAATCCCAGGCAGCGACCTAATGTAAACTGTAAATATGGTCTAAAAATACATAGGGGTGAGCTAATCTATGCCTCTTTCGAAGATTTAACATCCCCTGAGTGGGGCGTGCTTAATGCACGTATTAGCTTGACTCCTGCGTCTGCCATATCCCCGGAATGAGCGCTCCAGAACTGGGCCTCACGGTCGGATCCACGAAGCACATCATTCCAGGGCTCTTCTTTGGTCGGAGATGGAGTGCCATCGATCGACGGCTCTATTTCATTCGAGCTGTATACATTGACTCGTTCGTTGAAACGCACCCGGTGACGAGTGCGACCGTTGGGCGAGCCCTGGGAGCCGGAACTGAGGGAGGAGTTCCTCGCCAGACTAGCAGCAAGATAGTCCTTGCGCACTGCATACCGTATAGCCTCTTCTCTTCGGCTCGTATCCGAGAAGATCTTCTCAAGGGCTGTAGAAGCAGTGAATCGCATCCCCAGGTAGACCTGCTCGGCGACGAACAAAGTCAACAGAAGCGAGGAGAGCCGGACCTCGGAAATAGGACCCCGATAGACATGCACAATTGCCGCTGTAGATAGAGTCCCCAGCCAGGCCAAGAAATCTAGCCCCAGTAGACATGGGCCGATCGAATCCGACCGGATGGGTGGTGGTCGTTGGCACTCCAGCGTGAGCTTGAAGAAGTCACCCCGCAGCTCCAACCAATTATTTAACAGGAAACCGAGCGGAACCAGTGGCCAGGCAACTCCAAATAATGCGAGATAGCCAAACTGTACACACATCTCCATGATGTCCTCCTCCACATGGTATTCCTCTGCGCCGGCCTCGCTACGCAGTCTTTTCATAAATGCTGCTTCGTCTGGAGAGTCAACCAAGAACGAGCTAGTTGTTACGGAATGCCTCCGTTTGCGGCTGTACTCGGCCTTTCCATCCCGGTAGTTTTGCCACTTCTGATTCAGGACATGCTTCACATATGGCAGGACAACTTCCTCGCCGAAGCTAAGTACCTGAGCCGTCATGGAGAGATATATCACCTCCTGCTGGAATCGGCTTGTATCGACCTCGAATTTCTTCTGCCCGCTGACCATATCGGCCCTGAGCCCCGTTCTTCCGAGAATGTCGAAGTATGGAACAATTTGTTTGCCGAAGGGAACATAGACATAGGCGGTCAATATCGTGGGGAGGAAGGAAGTGATAAAATTCATGACGAAATTCTTCTGAGTCAGGGCAAGATCGTATTGATCCTGCGTTCGGTAGTTCTCGTACTTAGTCAAGCGGGTTGCGATGCTTGTGAGAAACGAGGTTATGGCGGGCAAGGATAGCGAAAACAGGACGGTCGGTACGAATTCCAGATATTCTTTGAATGGACCGTCGTATACCTCGGATATGAACACCTCCGATGCGAAGGAGGCGATGATCAAGGCCCCGAGGGCCACGCTTGCAACCGAAGCAAAAGGAACCAAAAGCAGCTGACGTAGGAACTGCTTCCAACCTGGGAAGACATATTTCACCTGACCACTGATTGGGTCCTTGACCTCTTTCTCCCACACATACTGCTTGCGATTCACCTTGAGTCGTCCAACACCTTTGACATCCCATCTCTGACTCAAATCGGCCTCTCGAATCTTCCAGTACTCGACGAAGACAACGCACCAGGCACAAAGTACAGTTCCATACACAATGGAATATGGACCTAGATACAGCCACCCAAGAATGCCCAATCCTGCGGGCACCACGAGGAATAGCGAATAGCAATGGATAAAAGCGTAGTAGAAAGCGACCTGCACAGGGTTAGCTGTTTGCCATAAATCGAGCCCAAACAGTCACGGGTACCTTTTCACCAAACAAGGCTCGAATCGCGTCCAGATCGCTAGTCGACAATACGGTTTTTCGATTCCATTGACGTAGCATTTCCGCGCAGGCCTCCTGGTCGTGTAAGGGAAACGAGGCGGTGATGTTCTTCCATTTTCCAAAACCCGGCGTGATGCCTGCGCCTCCTATTTTCTTTTGCCAGGTGACGGCATGGTATACCGAACGAATCTCTTCGGCTGGTGTATCGGCGTCGGCGATAGCTGTTTCGTCGCCGTCTGGTAAGGTATGAGTAATCCCAAACAGCCAATCCTTGATTCTGTGCTGTGTTAATTGCCCTAAAATCCAATCGTATGACATTCAAGACCCTCAAACCCCACTTACCTTGACTGGTGTACTAAATTCCCGAGGTGATCCCGCGGAACCCGAATGCAGACTAATAGCGCTTCCCCGTGGCCGTGACGAACCTGAACCCGAAGGCCAGCCTCGCCCAAGTCGTGGATCAGCGTTCGAAACTCTGTAATAGCTTGGGCTTGATCTGAGGATCATTAGTATATGCAAAAGGCCAAGGAGATTCCACGGGATTTACCGATGTCTCCAAACTCATATTGTAATACCCAATCCACGCCCAGGTTATCGTTATCATCTTCGTCATTGCCATAGCCCGCGAGCCACGACATGTTGGCTAGGTGTGGCCTGTTGAGAAGAGCAATTGGAGGGTAACAGGTGGTCAAAGTGGTTCAAGTGGTCAAACACGTCACATCAAAAGTTGAAAGGGAAAATGTGGGGAGATTGCCCTTCAAGGTTGTCACCATTACATTATTACTCTAGTCAGTTATGTATTTTTCTATTTCCTTCTATTTTGGTTCCACCCGGGTATACGGTATATCATTGCTGACCACACAGCTCTACCATTTCAACTCAACTGCTACCTGCACCTCTCAAGGACTACAATCTACAGTTGAGATTACTGAATTACACAATTGCCTTCCCCAGTTCCCATCCGACTTCTACATACAGTCGTTATGCTACCGGAAATACGAGTCAGCCCCACAAGTCAAGCTTCAGCCCTATGAGCGAGATTTCATTTGCATGAGGATCCAGTTTGCCATCCAATGATAAGCAGCTTACGATCACCATTTCTCACCATTTCTCTGCCATGCCCCCTTACATGTTCAGGGGAATCGCAATTGCCTTTCAAGCTAAAGGAGATACTCGAATGAGTTAATCCAGCACCTGCACTATACCAGGTGACTTAAAGGACTGTTCCCAAGGGATGCGCTGTGGGGTCCACTGCGGGCACATGCAGTTGTCGGATTGGCGGGAATTGGCTAGGGCTGAACAGGAGAGAGAGCTTCTGGTTCAACAATGCCCTAAGAAAGCCCCCGTGAAAGGGCCAGTTCTCTGGTCCAGAACCAATTCCCGGGGTATCTCCTCTCAGGGTTGGCAGCGGACTGTTGGGTGAAATGCTGTTGCCTACAAAACTTCACGCCAAGCCACTAATTCGTGATTTGCGACGATTCCAAGGAAAACCCACATTGTATGGAGATCCGCTATTTGCGGTGAAAGTTCCCCAACGTATCTGAACAATATTGGTGCCAAGAGTGGAGGCGGGAAAACTTGAATCCATGACGGCGATGGCGCATCAATCCGCAGATACGGGCTATTACGGAGTACGGAATACATACAGCCGTCTGCTAAAAAAGGTGCTCTCAGCCACAATGTTGGGGATAGTACCCATCCGGCGCTTCCCATCGTGGCTATAAGTACATGGGGTAACATGCACGACCGAGCGCCATGAGATCATTTCCCACGAAAAAACCTTTTCTTTCCTGGCGATATCCATTATTCACGTTATTCACGTCCCTAGCGGCTTACCGTATGTACTCGATTCTCGAGATCATGGCCCGTCGGTTTCCTCGTGGGCAGAATCTTACCCTCGGGTTGAGTGTCTTCCTCTTTATCTTCATGTTTCTGCCTACCTTTGTTATTCTGCTAGCCGTCATCGTATTCTTTGGGCTGGTGTATCCGCGATTACGCAAGTCGTACAGCCTTGCCCCCGAAGGAGAGCTGGAGTCTCGGCAGTCGGAAACCAAAGATTGAATGATCGGAGCATGGTATGACTATATGCAATGTGCTCGGTTATGTTCAATCACTAACGTGTGTAAAGATACCATCTGGGTGTAATACTATTAAACCCTGCTACCGAGTCCACGAAAATGCATTGACGCTTCTTTTTTTTTCTCGGATTGTGCAGCGACCAAGCACAGGATTTCGAGGGCGTTTTGGGTGTATCTTATTGAGTTCAAAGAATCTGAATGTTTCATGTTATTTCAACTATATGAAGATCTCTAGTCATAAGATCTTGAATAGAGAAACATATTATTTCTTGCAATCCTGCTGTATATTAGGTAAAAGATAAACCTGAAACAAATGCCTAGCAAGTCTAGAACGAAAATCACAATGTCTTACATATGTACAGTCATGTAAACATTAGTACACCATTCGTACCATGACTCTAACGGGTAGGGCTGACACGGTACATGGTTGAAGGGCTCCTTCCTCTTTCCCCGTTCCTCCCGAGGTCTCTCCGTTCCTCTTTCCCCGGGTCATCTCCTTCATGAATACACTCGATCGAAATCCCCATCCAATCCCATCTCCTCGAGAGTCCTCTTCGAGAACATATAATGGGCTGAACAGATTCATTATCTTCATCCATGGAAGTTGGATCTTTCCAGAAGACGGAGCAGCACCCCCTAAATAACACCCCGCTCAATATCTGATGGCATCAGCCCAACCGCTCAGGGTACTAATCATTTCACCCGTCTCTATTCTGACACAGGATGCACACCAAACAAGAAAAGCAGCTGGAAATCGACCAGCCACTGCCTGATCGTTTTAGCTTCTTTTCGTCAAAAATCCGACAAGCGACCGCCTCGTCGACCTGGGATGGCCTTTTCCCCAACGAAAACATCGACCATATCTTCCAGGAGAAGCTAAAAAGTCGCCCAGATCCCAACCAGCCAATCTGGTGGATTGACATATGTGACGCCACCGAACAAGATGTCGATGCCGTCTCACAAGCTTTGTCTATCCATCCCCTGACGGCGGAGGATATTGCTATTCGTGAGCCCCGAGAGAAAGTCGACGTCCACAAGAACTACTACTTGATCTCGTTCCAGACCCTCGTGGTAAACAAGGTCAATGAGCGACCGGGAATTCCCGTCTCGGCTGCATTATACATTCTTGTCTTCCAATGTGGCGTGGTCACCTTCTCGCCTAGTGGTTGTGGGCATGTGGCTCGGGCGCGAGAGCGAATTCGCAAAATGCATGATCCCACTATTCTGACGAGTAACTGGGTTTGCTATGCAATGATGTGTGTTCAGCCATTTTCCCGCTCAGCAACCCCCTTTTCAATGGGTGCACGGCTAATTGATCTTCAGAGACGATATCATCGACAGCTTCGAGCCATTTGTCCGGGACGTGGAGCGCGAGGCCGAAGCAATCGAGGATCAGGTGTTTATCAGTCGCATCGATGACGCTCAGGCTCTTGTTCCGCAGATTGACGCCCTCCGGAAGAAAACCACTCACATAATCCGCTGCCTCAGCGGTAAGGTCGATGTGTTGAACGGATTCGTGAAGCGCTGCCAGTCTCCCGATAAGAACCCTGTTTTCCCTGACCGGGATCTACTTTTATATCTCGGCGATGTCCAGGACCATTTAGTCACAACGTTGTCGACACTTGGGCACATCGATGAGATCATCGGTCGGTCCCAGGCGAATTATTTAGCCCAGATGAGCGCTACAAATCTCCGGTTGAGTCTGACTATTAACTCTGGTTTGAGTAAGGTTACTCTTCTGGCTACGATCTTCGTGCCGTGCAACCTGGTTACGGGCTTGTGGGGAATGAACGTTCCTGTCCCGGGACAGCATGCTAGTGGGCTAGGGTGGTTTTTTGGTATCCTCGGTTCTTTTGCGGCATTCATGGTCATTTGCATCGCCGCGGCTACGAAGTACAAACTTTTGTAGACGTTGACCGATGGATGCATTTGGCTTAGGATATTTTAGTGCTAAGAGACAATGTATTGAATATTTTTGCTCATTCCTTCTCTAATTCTATGCTTCGTTTTTCAAAATAAATCAATGGAAGTTATTCACAGGTGTTGCAAAGCTTTCGTAGCCCGAATGGCGACATATCGATGCTGATCAACACCGATATTCAACGGTCGGAGCCACGGCATTGACTTATTCCCACCATCGTTGATCATCAATTCAATGCCATAGATTCAACAGTGGGCACTTCCGGCTTCTGAGCCGGGTGTGCCATCAGCTACACACTTCTGAGCAGGCATTTCTTCCTAGTATTTTGTGGCGCTGCTTGGAGGCTGTGTGGTGGAGTCGGAATCGGTCGTCGGCCCAAGTTCGTAGCTGAACCAGAGTTCGGTGGTCTTGATTGTCTTGTATATACAGCATCAACAAATTCTAGACAGGCGAAGGGGGAGAAGAAGAGTTCGCTACGCCGGTCAAGATCTCGGCTGATAGGTTACCAGATGCAAGCGCTCTCTTCAAAGAGGAAAGATCAGCGTGAACTTTGTTATACACACCATCAACTGTCATTATTACCCTCTGCATTCCGTACTCCGTAGGTGCTTTTCTTTTGGCTTGCCTATTGGTCTCGTCGGTATCTTGCATATTCCGTGTACATCACTCGTGCATAATGTACTCCGTACTGATCCGAGGATACCTGATAGGGTCTTACCTCTGGGTACGTGCAGGGCCGACGATTGCGTAATGTGGCAGGCGAGTTAGTTTGTTAGTTATCGGTGTCAACCAGTGAGTCAGATTCGAAAAACACCGGTGGGTCCGACGATGGCAGATTGTGGCAATAGCTAGTGACACAGCCACAACAACAAGTACCTGTGGGCGGTAACTCCACAAACCAACGAGAGGCGCAGCAGACCAACAGCTGTACAATGTACATCCATGCATCGAGAGATACGGAGTATGTGTTGTACTCCGTAGGACAGTCGGACATGGGTGGAGCCTTTCTGAAAATACTTAATGACTAGTGGTCAATGAAGCACGACAGCGCATACATACAACGCACATTGTACATCGATGTACTCCGTACTCCTTAGAGTGTACAGAAAGCGCCCTAAGGTGTGACGAGCATCCGAGGAGAATAAGCGAAAACAAGACCTCAGTACCAATAATAAGAACACCCAAATACGGGGCTTGATGGTCGATCCTGACAATAATTCACCAATGATGTTGAGATTCGTGGATAGCGCGTCATTGCTGGATTAAATTGGTCCAATTGGTCCAATTGGTCCAATACAGAGTAACCCCTGCAGCATTCAGGATTGACATCATGCTAGGGATACTATCGTATAGGGTGACGAAAGACAACGCGAGGCTAGGAATGTTTGCATAGGTCAACGGTTGTCAAACATTCCTTGAAAGAGTAATCAGGATCTGCAGGGCTGAGATAAAAAGGACGGAAAAAGGTGTGGCGTTGGAGAATCATCACGCCAAGCTGCCAAGGCCATAAGTCTGGCCCCTTGAGAAGTCAACTGTCGACTTCACTCTTCGCTCTTTCCTATTTTCACCTACTATCTTATCATCAAAGGCTTGTTGCCTTCTTTCATCTAACTTTTTTTTCTCTGAAATACATGCGTAAGTAATACCCAGAGGAGGCTCAAAGCTATAGCTGTAGCTATAGCTATCCCGAGATCTTGTCTCCACTCCTATGTATCTGGCTAACAATGTTCCCTTTTGCAGACCGGATTCACTCGTGGGCGAAAGCTCACGCGTCTTCAAGCGGCCTGCCAGACCAGACTTCCTCCGAACAGGCCGCCGACCCTGTTAATTCCGAAAAACCTTCCCAACATGGACAAGTGAATGTACCTGTGGAGGACCCCACTCCGGGGTCCGTCACGGAAACCAACTCCAAGCCGGGTCTTCTGATCCGCATGCGAAACGGGTCCGGCCGTTTCTATCACCATACTGCGGATGCTATCTGCCACAGCTGGATTAATGTCTTGCTAATATTTGTACCGGTCGGTATTGCCTGTGAGGCCGCGGGTCTCAACCCAGCCCTCATCTTCGCGGTGAATGCAGTAGCCATCATTCCCCTGGCTGGACTACTCAGCCATGCCACGGAGAGTGTCGCCAGCCGACTTGGTGACACCATCGGAGCTCTGATCAATGTCACTTTTGGAAATGCAGTCGAGTTGATCATCTTCATCATCGCTCTAGTCAAGAATGAGATTCGCATCGTTCAAGCTTCTCTTCTCGGCTCCATTCTCGCCAATCTGCTCTTAATCATGGGCATGGCTTTTCTCGCTGGTGGCCTTCGCTTCCGCGAACAGATTTACAACAGTACTGTCACTCAGATGAGTGCTTGTCTGCTCAGTTTGAGTGTGGTCAGTCTCCTGCTGCCCACTGCTTTCCACGCCTCATGGTCGGATAGCAATAATGCCGATCGCGAGACGCTCAAAGTCAGCCGTGGTACCAGTGTCGTTCTGCTGTTGGTGTATATTCTCTACATCATCTTCCAACTAAGAACACACTCGTATCTCTACGCCAGTATCCCTCAGGCCATCATTGACGAGGAATCCAAACCTGGTGTTTTGGCAGAATTTATGAACAGCTCTTCGGATTCGTCATCTAGCTCCAGTGATGAGTCGGATGACACTACAACTTCCTGGACCACCGCCAAACGGATCAAAAGAGCAATGAAGTATCGCAGACACCGAAAGTCAAGTACAAGCTCGAAAGGGACAATCTCTCATAATTCCTTCCAGAAGAGGGCTATGGCATCGACTTCCAATGAGAATCACGGTTCCATCTCCAATTCAATTGGTAGCAATGAACACGCCATTGAGCTCAGTGATGAGATTCGTTACGATGCCGACGACGACATCCTGCCCTCTTCGGCAGTCCGTTCTCGCGACTTTGGTTTGGCTCTGAGCCGCATGGATAGCAAAGCGAGTAAGAAGTCGAAGAAACGAGATCACAAGAGGCGCGAGACCCAGAAAGCAGAGAAGAAGGCTCAGATCGAGGCCCCCGAGGATAGCGGTCCCTCCGATCAACGTCCGGTCCTCAAGGGATTCCCATCCGCCCCTAACGTCGTTGGCTTGGAAGGCGTAGGGGATGATCCCCGGAAACGCCGGTCTCCTTTCGGACCTATTCCGTCTCTGCTTTCCAACACTGTTTTCAGCTCCCAGTCACCCGCGGGCTCACCCCGTATGGGGGCCACTTCCTCGCGGCCAGGAATTTGTCGCAGCAACTCGCTCCCCGCACATACCAGTCGTCCTCCGCTGGCCGGAAACGCAGTACAGTTCGCCCGTGGTGCTTCTCGCCTAACCGAGCATAATGATGTCGTGGGTCCGGAGATAGCTTCTCAGGCCCCGGAACCCACAATGTCACGTACTGCTGCTGTTGTCATGCTCCTGCTGTCCACTGCTTTGGTGGCTGTTTGTGCTGAATTCTTGGTTGATGCTATTCCCGAGATGATCGCTAGCTCAAACGTCAGCGAAGCTTTCATTGGTCTCATTATCCTGCCCATCGTCGGCAATGCAGCCGAACATGTGACTGCCGTCAGTGTCGCGACCAAGAATAAGATGGACCTGTCCATTGGTGTATCTGTCGGTAGTAGTATTCAAATTGGTAAGATTCCATCCGTTTTTGATGATGTTTCTACGTGTGCACATTCTGACTATGCCAACAGCTATTTTCGTCACACCCCTGGTCGTCATCCTGGGCTGGTGTATGGACAAGGACATGTCTCTGTACTTCACGCTTTTCGAGACAATTTGTCTCTTTGTGACCACCTTCGTTGTCAACTTCCTCGTATTAGACGGCCGAAGCAACTACTTGGAGGGTGTCCTCTTGATTGCAGCCTATATTATCATTGCGTGAGTTCATCCCTTTCCTCGGTCTCGCTTCAATGTGCTAAACATTTCTTCAGCCTATCTGCGTTCTTCTACCCGCCTAGTACGAAATCAAGTGTTATCGCAGGTTAAGGAGCATAGTTACGAACCCGCGCTGGTGGGATGTTGGGCGTGGGTTGGTTCCGCCGTCAAAGGTCTGTCCGCCGATTGATCACCTTTGATTGCTAGCGCTAGAGCACCATTGATAAATACACGCCTTTAATGCCACTCTTTCCTCGAACGATATGTTATTACTGTACTGGTAAGCAAGTCGGTAGTAGTGCACGTAGTGTGAGCGGGAATAATACAATCGATGTATCTTCCCAAGATCTCGTAATGCTGGCTGCTATATTTGGGAATCTTCTATAATTAACTACTCTAACAACGCTCGTTGGATGAATCGCGGGAAATGCTCCATCCATGTGGCCGATCGTCGCGGTCCCCGTAGAGCCCCTGGCTGGTTGCTATTAACAGAACGACAAAGTCGCACTGATCAGCCTACAAGAATCGAATGAGTATCACTTAGACTTTGGCCTTAGGAAACGGCTCACATTTATTTCCAAGCCCCTATCGATGTCAAGCTATGACAATATTCACACTATCTTGTGCGAAGCTTAGGACAATGCATATCCGCTGGTCCTTATTCCGCTCTACGGCCTAATAGGATGAGCGCTTTTCTGCTTCTCCCACGCGGGCAACGCCCACTTCACCATATACTCAGACCTGAGGAGTTGGTCCGCCGTGGGTCGTTCCGCAGGTTCAAACGTCATCATAGCTCTGAGGAAGTCCTCCAACGCACGTAGTTCACCACCTGCAACGTCCCATTGACATGTCTGCTCCGTCTCGCCACGGCCCATATCCCAGAGGCGCTGATGCAGAGGCCGGAAGACGGGAGTGCTGATACGGCGGAAGTCAGCGACCCATGACCCATCCTTCTCGAAGAATTCGGAACGACTTGCCCAAGAGTCCCACCATCTCATGGGCGGTTGGCCCAGCGTATTGACCATTTCGGCGACAATGTCATCTCGGTCCCAGGCAAATGTTTCGAAGAGTACGCGCTCGCCTAAGAGCTCGTACAAGTTGACACCAAGGGTCCATATATCAGCTGCGGTGGGTTGAATGATGGGTTCATTAAAAAAATCTTCTGGTGGAGAGTAGAGAGCTGGGGTATGGAGAGTTGGTGAGGGCGTCTGTGCCACAATAAAGGACGTCCCGTAGTCCGAGATGATGATTTCTGGGTCATCTACCTTGTTGGAAGGCATGTCCAAAGCCATGGGATAGATGGCATAGGGTGGTGCGTGGGGTTCACCAGGCTTTCCATCCAGTCGCATGATAGGAACCTCGTCGATTGTACCAAAACGCCTGTATAGCTCAGATGTGCTAAGGCCGTCGAAGTTCGGTATGCGTAAGAGAAAATTGCGCAAGTGAAGATCTGCTTGTAATTAGGCGGGATCAGTAAACCGGGATGCACAGCCTAATGACCCCCACCTCCGTGGCATATGCCGTTTGCATGCAAATAAGACAACCCTAAGAGGAGCTGGGCGGCAGCAGATCTAGCAGCGTTCGGCGGAAACATGAAGTTTGGGCTGTCCTCCTTGGACTGAGCAACACTGACACCAGCAGGCTCTCCGACCAAGCACCGGTGATGTCCATTTGGACCATGAAACGAGAATTGGCCAAGTAGGGATGGAATGAATCGCTTTCCAGCATGAGCAAGGTCACTCTTCATCAGGCGATGAAGGATTTCCCCCTCGTGGCTATCTGGTGATGCTCTCGCAGTCAATATCTTTAGCGATACGTAGCGCTGGCGTTGGTGATCCCGGGCGAGCCAAATCGTTGAATATCCACCAAAACCAAGCTTGTGGACGACGGTGTAACGGCCACTACAAAAGGTGTCTCCGATGAGAGTTGGGTGGTATCCGCCGGGTACATAGTCCTCGAAATTTTCAACATCTGCCTCGGGATGGTATATATCTTCCACTTGTAGATATGACGAGTCAGCCATAGCATGAAGGCATCGAAATGGGTGTGGTGACGGAAAGACTCTGTTATGACGGCTGGTCTTTGGTGTGAATGGAAACCGGCCCGGGAAGATATCCTGATTTTGTCGACGAATTATCGCGAATTGGAAGAATGGACGAGGGAGTCTCCAGTCATGGTTCAACTTAATCTTCATGTCTTTGCCGGGTCATCGAGTTGACGCGCTGGCAGTACTGAAAGATGGTGTGTGACCGAGGCCTATCTCCACCAGCCACGTGTGTGACAGTCAGTGGCTGTGTTTTCCACAGCTCGGTTGTCTGAGCCACAAGCCACATCGTGGCTTGGCAGTAGCACACGACATATTGATTTTACCGCAATCCTTAATGGCCCCCCTATAGAGGGGAACTCTCCACTGCGGGTGATATTTTCCCTGGTTTTATTATTATTTGGTTGTATACGGAGTACGGAGCACGGAGTACATCGTTATGGACCCCTTTTTATACGAATTATCCAAAGGCCGAACCGTGGAAATAAATAGTCAAGCTCCCGAGTGGAGCAAAGTCGCTCCTGATCTGTAATGCAACCCCTCTACTCCGTACTCCGTGCTCCGTGCTCTGTACGGAGTATGTATATACGGCTTATTGTGACACGCTAACATTGGATAGGGGTCACTTGGCATGCTGAAATCGAATCGGTCATTTGGCTGAGCCCTGCAAGGCGATAGAATTGTCAATATGGCCTGCCAGCTCCAGGGGCTCGTGCTGCACTTTATATCGCATCTGCCTAATCGGAGTAGACGTGAACTTGGGCGCTAACATGTAACTCCTAGAAGTGGGGGCATCATTCTAGTGTTGGACAGATTTGTGGAGTTGTCTCTTTCGGTTCTGGGCGGAAGGTGATGGTCTACAACAGTTCGCGCTCTTTCCCATAAAAGCCCTGCTCTCTCCCCCATTTCTAAGTTATCCGCATTTTCTCTTCCCTCCTTCATCTCTCTATCACCATTCGTTATGTCGTACGCTCCACCTTACGGCGATCCTTACGCTCGCCCTCCCTCAGATCGCCCACCATACGACCCCTACGGGCGCCCACCTTCTGATCCCTATGCGCGCCCTCCTCAAGATCCATATAACCGTCCCCCCTACGACGCTGGTCGCCCAGCATACGACCGAGGCCCATACAGTGCACCCCCGCCTCAAGCCCGTCCCCCTCCAGGCCCCCCGCCTCCCCTGCCCCAGGGCTGGGTCCAGGAATGGGAGCCCAGTACTCGTCGCGCATTCTATGTAGAACAGGCTACTGGTCGCTCCCAGTGGGAGGCGCCTTACCAGCAGCCCGCCTACTCTGGTTACAATGATGGTTCTCGCAGTGTTCCTCCTCCCCAGCCCCAAGGAGGCTACTATGCGCCTCCCCAGGGCCCTCCACCTGTGTCTTACGATGATCGTAGCGCTGGCTACTATCAGCAGCCCGAACCTGAGAAGAAGAGCAGCAATGCTGGCAAGTATCTCGCAGCTGGTGCTGCTGGTTTGGCTGTCGGTGGTATCGGTGGTGCTTTGATTGCACACGAGCTTGGTATGTGCTCTCTGTTTGGATTGAATGGCTTGTTTTTGCGCATGCTAATTTTTTATTTTTTTAGACGAGGACTCGGATAGATCAGATCGCGAAGATGCTTACGAGCAGGGCCGTCGAGATGAAGAAGAAGAAGAGGCTCATGAGTCAGACGATGGCGGTTGGTGATTGTGTTCACCCATGGGCTGTTGCTTGAAAGTCTTTCATCGGTCTATCGTTTTTTTAAGATTCGCATTCTTTTTTGCTAGGGTGGAGGCTTGCATTTTGCGAAGGTTTACATCATTAGGTTGCTATCACTTAACATTGCATCGAGATATTTCTCTACTATCATTTTTTTAAAAAATGCGAACCACCTTTAAAGACGAGACTTGTTCCATCTTTACTTCCAACACAATATCTCCCCATGCAACAACCCAAACCAGGCATCTTTATCTTCCACAAACTGTCTCCATCCCCTTGCAATTACTTCCAAATCCTCTGACTCTGCAAAGCCCTCCTCAACAACATTCTTCGCAAACCCAGAAGATCTAGCCCTTTCCTCCATAGATCCACCCCAATATGCCCTCTCCCCGTCACTCCCAAAACACCAAGCCCCCGCACTCTTCTTCACCCTCTCATTGTCAAACCCAGCCTCCCGCGCCCAAACATGAATCATCCTCCCGGGATGTGGATGGCCACCTTTAGAAAGTTGCATGCGCTCGGTAATCTCGCGCCACTTAGCGATCCCTACAGACTCGGGATACCAGCTTAGCTCTGCCGACTCACGACATGCAACAATGCCGCCGTCCTTAACGACCCGCCTCATTTCCTTTAGCGCATGAACTGGATCAGCGATATGTTGCAGAACCTGATGCGCATGTACCACGTCGAATGTGTTATCCTCGAATGGCAGGTCGTGGATGTTCCCCTCTTGGAAGGTAATGTTGGACACTCCTTCGGCTTGCGCAAGGGCACGAGCGCCTTCTAGTGGATCAGGTACGTACTCCACACCTGTAACATGTCCGGATGGGACCTGTTTTGCCAGGGAAATTGTGATTGAGCCAGGTCCACAGCCTACATCCAGGATTTTCATGTCTGGCTTTAGGTGTGGGAGGAGGTATGGCGCGGAGTTGAAGACTGTGCGCCAGCTGTGCGTGCGGAGGACCGAGGCTGAGTGGTCTGTTGTGTAGACTTGAGGCATGTTCGATGGGTTGTGGAGTTGTATTTGTGATTGTAATTGTTGGTTTTGTTGAAAGAGCGTTGTTGGGTGAGGTCGGCAGTGGATTTTATAGTTGCGGGAATCTGGACCTGCTTCGGAGTTCCGTAATGATCTTCAATATCAGTGGCCATGCCGTTTAAGGTTAATTCAACACCTTCAACTTGGAGCATTCAATTGTTTCTTGTAAATAACTCGTGAATTATAAGAGTCTAAACCATGAGATCAAGTACTAGACAACTAGAATAAAGACTTCGAACCTGACTTTAGCGTCACACAGTAAGTGCTTGAGATACACAAACAATGCGTGTTTTTCGAAACCACATACCCAAAAGAGTGCAAAGTGACCTGTGTACATAGTTACTGTTAAGCGTTAACTAAGAGGTGCCCAGCATGACTTCATAGCTTGGCATTTAGTGCGGAACTCCGAAAACCTTGCCGGAATTCCGAACTCTCCTCCGATTCCATTTCATCTTCAATATGGACGAATCAGATAGACACGAGCCATTAACCCCTGCTTCACCTCGATTTCTCCGCACAGCGCGAAGAAAGGCATGCCGAAAATGTGTGGGAGCTAAGACTGCCTGTGATCTCGGAAAACCGAAATGCAAGCGATGCAGAGATCGAGGCACGAGTTGTGAATATCCAACACACGTCAAATCAAGAAGTGCTGCTAGTGCAGAGAATCAACACGCCACTGTGGATGTCTGCCCTCTCAGTACCATTTCTGATGCAATATCTCCGGATTCCACATGGCCAGAGGGTCTGGTCAGAAGCACCGGGAATATATCTCACGCCCCGAGTTACCCCATTACGGATAATGGACCAATTCATCCGGATACCACTGCTGGCCTAGACTTCCATCAAATTGATCTAGTTCCCATGATCGATGCAGAGGAAATTCGCGATCGCTGGTTACGCCCCTACATCTCGAGCTCGACGGGCCAAGAACTCAAGCAGTTGAATGCTCACACCATACAGTATCTCACCTGCGTGTTGAAATCGTATCTTAGAAATCTACTTAACTCAAAGGCACCGCCTTTTGTTCATTCGATGCAGCAGATGGGGACATGTCCGCCTGTCTTGGCTTATTGCTTCACCCTGGTTCGGACATGGTTGACTCGGATTCCTGGGTGTGAACCCTTGATTCTGGGAACGATGCGAGAAGAGATGAGGAATATTGAAAACCAGGTATGTTGGCACCTTATTATTCGTTGCATATCTGCCTAATATTACACAGGGTGCCATTCGAAGTGACTTTGATAGCCTATGCTCGTTCCAGGCGTATCTCATCTACTCCATGACAATCCATTTCTTCCCTCGCCCAGACACCGTCGAAGAACCCAACAACTTTGATACCCAAGCACAGATAAAATTACAAGAAATTGCTTTCCGGTCCGCCAAAGCAGGTCTCACCTGCAGAGCAGAAGAATCTCAGACCCGGCCGAGCTGGGAGTCATGGATAGTCGCCTCTGCCAAACGTCGTACCCTCTTTACTATGTATCTTTTCACCAACGTCTACAATACCCAGGTCGGGCTGCCGAACTTTGTTGCTGAAGAATTGAGAGGGACCATGGCCCCGGAAAGCAAAATACTCTGGGAAGCTTCAGACCTCGCCGTCTGGGAAAGAGAATACAATCGCCACTTGTCTCGCTGGGAGGATACGATGCTCGAGATATCAGAGCTGTGGAGGTCTGATGATACTGGAACAGACGCCCGGCGGGAGAGAATTGAGCGGTGGCTGCAGTCTGCTGATGAGTTTGGGATGATGTTATTTTCCGTTTGTGCACATATTCATGGGTGCTAGTCACATATTTCTGTGAGCCTAATTTGAGAGAGAGCAAGGATATTAGATACCGGACAAATTTATATCAAAAAAACCTTGCAGTTGCTTGCTTGGTTGCATTGCTCTGTCACAATATACATAAATCGAATCGAAATGTCCAAATTACTTCACTTCTTCGACATACTGGCCATCTGCTCATCCGCAGAATCCAGAACAGCCTTGATGGGCTCCTTTGAGATCATGCGCTCAAGCCACTGCTTCTCGTTTGGGAACTCATCAACGTCGAACCCTTCATCAACGAGTACTGTGTGTGCCGCCTTTTGCCAAGGAATAAACGCTATATCAGCGTATGACATCTTGTTGCCGACCAACCAGGGACCATCCCCAACATGCTTGTCGTTGGCCTCCTTCTGCTTGCCCAACCACTTGTCAAGCACGCCCGTCACACGTTTCGCTTCTTCAACATAGCGCTTCACTGCGCTAGGGAGCCTCTCCGCGTGGTATTTCTTGAACCAATAAGCTTGTCCGTAGTACGGCCCTTGACCAGAGACTTGGAGGTGGAGAAACGAGCGTGCAAGCTCGGCTTCTGCGCTGCCCGGTGTAAAGCTGAGCTTGCGGGGTTCGTTGGTATCGTAGCGCTCTATGAGGTATTCAATGATAGCGCCACTCTCCCAGATGGTCAGGTTGGTGTTTGGGTCATGGATCGAAGGTAGGCGCCCATTTGGATTGATCGCTTCGTACTCGGGTTCCTTGACTTTAGCGAAGCCGACTGGAACGGATTCAAATGGTACTTCGAGGAGCGTGAGGATGATTCCCACTTTGAGGGGATTTGGGCCAAGAATGCCACCATAGAGCTGAATGGGTTTGATTGTGGGTGACATGTTGTGATTCAACTGTGATTGAAGCTAGAATTGATAATTGTGATCACATTTACAGTGACGGGTTTCGATTTTATATGTCCCAGGGGTTACGTTCAATTTACTTCTTCTCAGTCATTCTTTGTGATTCCTATTATCAATCGCTGTGGATAACCTGTTGGATTTGTAACATTGTCCTCAGAGTTCGTCCGTTGTTTGTCCGATCTTCGAACCGCGTCTGAATATTAAGTAATCTTCGGACTCGGGCAACTTTAAGTCCGAAGACCGCACCTTCGGACTTCCGTTATTCCGTTGCCGGATTACTCACCAGTGGGCCTTCCAACCTTGGAAGGTTCCCCCGGGGCCGAGGTCCCGAGATCCCGAGATCCAACCATGGATCTAATGAAGTCAAAGTCGATCACTCTATGAACATCCTCGCCATGAAGCGTCATCTACCCGAAATCTGATCTATACTTGTATCACCCATACGACTATTTTGTTAATTCAATCTTGGCCAAGATCACTATCATGAACGCAATCCTATAGGCTACGGACCATCTCCTTAAATACACATCCGCACTCAGAATCGAAGTGCGGCCACGGCAGGGACAGAGATCGCGATTGTAGTACTTCGGGTCTTATGTCTCCTTCTACCAGTTGGAGATTGCAGTGGCTGGGTAGTAACTGATGGTGAAGGCGAAGGAGTGTACTCCGTAGACGAGGTGCTCTTCATGTCTCATTCCTGAGGGTACACAACGCCGAGACCGCAACCCCGCACTCGTGACATGAGGTTCATAGGGATGCCTCCGCACTTTTCATTTTTTCTCCTTGTCCATGTCCATGTCCATCCCCTAAAATCAATCTCTCCATTACACATAGCTAAATAGCATCAAATATTCTTCTACCATCAAATCGATCAAACATCAGATTAGTCAAACTCTCCCGAAACCTCTTGCCGACTCTTGCGAGGAGCTAATGTGCACATGCTGGCAGCCCCGATCCCATATCTACCGAATGTATACCAATTCCGGTTTGTTTCATACTTTTCCTACCACTATTGGGTATTAAACCCCGACGACGACAAGTTCCCACATTCTCGCAAATGTGCGGGTGTCGATTGTTGTTTGCCTCTAGATACCCAAAGCAATGGCGACCTTTACGGCATGTTGACAGTTTGAAACCTGTCTACGTGATAATGAGCTCTCCTACATTCAGATACCAGGTCTCGAACACATCAATATATATTCTCAAGTGTAAATATCAAATCAAAATCCAATTCATCGTTTAGGTACATGCCACAAAGTTGTTGCCGCTGGCACCAGTGTGAGTAATGACACCAGCTAGCTTGTCGGCGCTGTTGAAGATAACACGGTCCGCACCAGGAGAGCTACCAGTATAGACCTTGCCACTGCTGAGAATGGGGAACTCGTAGTAGGTTCCTGAAATAGGAAAGCTGAAACCTTCATAGTTGTGGTACTCGTGAGGGTAGCTGGACACAGCGTCATTGGCGCTGTAGAGTTTGTATCCCGCTGCCTGGGCGGCGCTGATGGCACTGCTGGTGTAGCAGACTGTGCCGCAAGTCGCGGCACATGCGCGAGCTTCCACATCCAACGGGGCAGCGAAGGCACTGGATATGAAGACGGAGGCCAAAGCCAGGAGCTGAAAGCTGTGTGAATAGCTGATGGTTGATGCTATTGATCTGGAAGAGGGTATTACCTTGGTGTATTGCATTTTGGCGATGTGGTTGGATAGGAAATTTGAGTGCTCGGCTGGCTGTGAATATTTCTGGAGTTGTAGACCTTCAATGTTTCTGGGAAAGGTGATGGTTTAAATATGCCTTGCCGGAGGTCTTTCCGCATCGTGAAGAGAATCTACTCGCTATCAATGCGATGTTACATTCTGTGTATCCAGCCGTCTTGGTCTTAATTGGCAATGGTATGCTGCAAGTCCAAATGATCAATTAGCAACAGCCATGCCGAATGAGGTACATCCACCGAGCGGTAACCATGAAGTATAGAAGTCAAACCGAGGTACTAGATAGTCCCGATTGGTCGATTGGGTACAGCGTGAAGAATCGAGTGGTGCTAGGATTTCCGGAGTCCTGAAGATACGCCCTATCCGGGAAGGTGATCGACGGGCGGGGACTATGTGGGATGGAGTCTCTTCTTTAGACCGATGCGCCTGAGATGAGCAGGGTCTCTCTATCGGGCCAATCACGGCGGCAACCGTCGGGCACGATGTTGATTTAATGGTCCGTTACTCAGCGGGCCATGTGGGGATAGACATATTGCTGTCGGCATTTGAACATTGAGCGAGTAAACAGTGGACTGCATGCATCTAGCTGTGAACAAAATCCAAGCCCTTTGCTTGTCGAGATAAGGTATTTCACTCAATTGCGCTTCGCATATATTGTTTTCCCCTCGTGTGTCCCCGTGTTCCGACGGTCTCCGTGCTGATCGCTTGAACTATCATATCTGGCCCGCTGGGTGCCAACTAGGCATGTTTTGTTTCTTGCTTTTCTGTTGTCAATCGCACAAAGCCACATTCGGCAGTTACTGTTGTGGTGGTCTCGTGCCGATCACATGCCGGTGCCTGGTTTGTTAGGCTTCACCTAGCTATTTAGCTATATCTCGATTGTTGTAGAGAATCTAACCTTCTACATATCTCTCTCACCGCCCAAAGAGTTACTATTTGCACGGTTGATTAGGTGCAATTGTGTCATATGCTAGTCTGGATATAACCGAAGGGTAGCTTCAGATTGTGTATGGATGGGTATAGTATAAGATAGAGGGTAACTGGTCTACCCTATAACAACGGAATATATGCGAGACCACCACTTGGCAGCCTTCTTGGATGACTCGGGCTCTTCCGAATCGACGAGCTCCCTTCGCCCCGTCCAGATGTCCATATCCTCCAGTCGGACGACACGGGTTTTATTCCAGAACTTGTACACAACCACAAACAATGCAAATACAGGGAGCAGGATATAGTTGATCACAAAGTCCGTCGAGCTAAAGGGGTTAAGGAAGCAGGTGTACCCCTGAAAGAAAACGAGGAACACATTTGCTGCCAGCGCAAGGTAGGTTCCCCATGGGTAGAAGAGAGCCTGGTATGGGAGCTTTGATGGGTCTTGGCCTTGTGCGACCAGGGCTTTCCGAAATCGAATATGCGCAACTCCGATTACCGACCAAACAATAAAGGTAGCAACTATACTTCGTCAGCAGGGAACAATGGTGGGAACGGTCAGGGAAGGCAAACATACCCCCCGAAAGGGTTATCAATGCCGAGTAGACTCTTCCAGCACTAGAGGACTGTTCCAAAAACACAATGCATGCGAAGATGTTGGTGAACACTAAGCCAACCCATGGAACTCCGAGACGATTTGTCCGGCCAATGAATTTTGGTGCTTTTCCATTGCGAGACATGAAAAGCAGCGTTCTAGATGCCACATAAAGCGAGCTATTTCCAGCAGAAATGACACTAATCACAATGAGAGCATTAATGAGGTGGGCAGCTGGGAGGATCCCAGCATCCTGTAACGAGATTGTCAAGGGGGAGCTGGCTGTCTTCGACGTTGTGCCCAACAACCTCTTGTCATTCCATGGGATGAGCATTCCAATGAAGAAGATGGTACCTAGATATAGTTCAGTAATGCTTCGGTCTTCTGTTTAATGTGAGCTCACCAACGTAGAAAATCAGGATACGCCAAAAGACCTGCCTGATAGCCTTAGGCACTGCTTTTCGAGGATTCGTCGATTCTCCAGCAGTGACACCAACCCTAATCTGACTGTCAGCTTTCGCCATTTCCCGCCACCTTCGATATTAGGGAATATACATTTCAGTCCCAGCATACAAAGTTCCCGCAACAACAAACGTTTTCGCAACGCCATTGATCGAATCTGCGAATGCCCCCGGGGCACGCCAATATTCAAATCCAATGGCGCGCGGTCCAATGCCACCTGCGCTGATGATAATTGCGAGAATGAAAAAGACAATCAACGCCAATACCTTGATACTGTATTTCATTAGTCATTTTCATGCTTCAAACCCAAGCACGTAGAAACCTACAGAGATAGCCAAAATTCCATCTCGCCATAGGCCAAAATTCCCAGATTTGACAAGGTAAGGAACATCACCCAGAAGATCAAGATCCAGCCCCATTGA